TAAAAAAAAGATAAAGCATTCAAACCTCATTTTCTCACCATGACATTAAAGGTGACCTAATAAGAGAAGGCACCTAGATTTGGTTGATTATTAGGAAAGGTTGCAGTACTAACATGATTAGACCATTATCAAATATCATGGTTGGATTCAGAAGGGAAGCTCAATATATCACAAACCTAATGCTTCACAGTTCATTGTTGTCTTTTGCCTCTGAACTTGCACCATAACAATACTATAATTTATATTTGAATTGTCGATCAACAGCAATCTCAAATCTCATACAATGAAACAATGCACGCCCTACTTTTGCAAACCTAAAGCTTAACACACATTGTTCTTAGCACTCAATCAACATCTGAATAAATTTCAAATGTTCATTTTAATCAATATGGAGGTCATAATAATCTTGACAAGCAAAATGTAGCTAAGTTGTGTCGTTCAAACTGCATGATCCATGACTCCATACAATCATCCAAGCCCAGTATTAAATAAAAAAGGCAGGTAGCCCAGACAATCAGAAGTTCCTCCAATCTATTCTACCCTGACCTCACACGAGCACTCAAAACTTCTTCGATTCAAACCACACTATGAGAAGGGGAAATAAACTGAACCAATGTGGTCATCTCCACAAATCCGTCCATATATTGCCCTAAAATTACACGCACAAAATTGAGATGGAACTCAAGTGGTAGGATACTCCTTGCGGAGCTGCAACGAGTGCAGCTTAGGACACGGACCCATGTCCATCTTCTGCAAAACACGAACAAAACAAAAACATATCAGCGAGCCGCACCGCGCCTAATCCCGATCGAAATTATAGCAGCAGTTTGGCTGGAGAAGAGGAAACGCACGGTGAGCTGGAAGAGGTCGTGGGGGCATAGGCCGGCGAGGAAGAGGCGGCAGACGTCGCGGTCGTAGTACTTGCGGCTGACCTCCCGGACGTCGCCATTGCGGTTGGCGCCCATGAGCTGGTCAAGCTGCTTCCGGATGGCGTCCATGGCACCGCGCGGCGGGGCCCTCCCTTTGCTAGGGTTTTTGGTTCCGGGAGAAGGGGGTGGAGACTGTTTCGGTGGCGTGATAGCGATTAGCAAGTAGGAGGACGAAGGAAGCTGGAACCTGGTGTTCTGGAAGGTCCTGGATGCCGCCGGAAAAAGGAAACAACGGTGGCCGGTGGGTACCTTCCCCGCCGTCCGATCCGATCGACAGATTGTCCCCACGGTCCAATTTTTTTAGAAGAGTCCACATGGTCCAAATAGACGTGGCCAGCGGCCCGCGGCCCAGAACGGAGGGTCGTCACGGGCTCACGGGACAGAGTCCCGGGTCCCCAATTGCTCCCGGCTCCTGCTCCCCGGCGCTGGCGCCGCCGGCTCTCCGCTCACTCAGGTGGTCTCTTCAGCGCTCCATCGGATCGCTGCAGTCTTCCCGCCGATTGTTTCCCTATCTCCATCGATGGTGAGCCCTCCCGGCGGCGAGTGGACTTTTGCCTCTGATTTCCGGTGGATCCTTCTCGTCGGCGCCTCCACACGAGGTTAGTTCGTTGTCACGGAGGCTTCTGTGGGAGTTGATGGCGACTAACCCGTCGGCTGATGTAGTGTTAAGAGCATCGAATGCCACATTATTTCATCTACTTTGCGGGATATTAACTCAGTTGCTGATTGAGTGATGATCATTGACTCAACATTTTGTCCATTCGGTTTGATTTTGCCGTAGTACTGTAGTTGGAATTTCGTCAAAAAAAAAGAGAGAAAGGATTCACACCTATACCCAAAATCTCAGCATAAAATACAACGGTGTGGGAGTTAGATGAGACCTCAGTTAACTCTCATTTAGATGAGACCTAGCCACTCCCAAGAAAAAACATTCTGTTGTTCCAATATACTCCCTCCGTTCCTAAATATAAGTCTTTGGAGAGATTCCACTATACCGACATACGGAGCAAAATAAGTGAAACTATACTCTAAAATGCATCTAGATATATCTATCTCTACAAAGACTTACATTTAGGAACGGAGGGAGTAGTTACTCATGGCAAGACTGGTAGAGATGTCCCTTCCGGGTGGGGATACATCCACGACCATGTGACTGGAAATAAGCTAATCGATATTAAATCGTGCAAAAACAAAAATGACTTCATAGGTTCTGTGCTGCACTCTTCAAAGATAATTTGAATCCGCCATAGTGGATCGTGTTGATTTTAGGATCTTAGATTGCATTAGGGTCGATTTTTTTGTGAAATTCAAAGCTACAGAATACACCTAATAGATCGCTTCACAACATAAGAGCCTAACTCTTTGTTCATTCATCTCACCTTTTTCTTTCTTTCAGGATGCCGTTGTACTGATTCAACCATACTGCTTGGAGTTCCAATGGACAACCTTGAGAACACGTTAGAGGACAAAGGCTTAAATTTTCAGTGCAATCTATCTGACATAGAGGTCTTACATAGCATGACACAGCTCTTACTTCATGCATTGGCCACAGCTTCAGTGGACAGCACCACTGGTGATATGTTCAAGAGCCCAGCATCTGTAGCTATTGGCATGAAGACTGAACTATCAGGGTACATGATTCAGAGATCTGAAACACTTGTTCGCGAATCTATGGATGGAGGCAAGGATCATTCAGATCAATTAACAAAAGCATCCTCCAGGCCGACGGAGTTCCTGTCAGACTTGATCGATGATTTTGTGACCTCAAAAAAGGGCATGCTGAGCCATGTCTCTGGGCTTTTTTCTAGCGAAAGCCGCCTGAACAAGATTAAAGACTTCATGCAAAAGTTAGAGACGGATAACTCGTGGGCCCAGGATGAAAGGAAGGCAACTGCATGGGCTATTCTGGAGAACATAGACAGTAAAGGCAATTTCCATTGCCCAGAGAGATTTGACATGCCAGATAAGCTAGCGGAGCACACAAGTCAATGCAAATTTAGGATACTGAACTGCACAAATGATGGATGTGTAGCTTCTTTCTGCGCTATTCATATGGAAAAGCGTGACACTGTCTGCCCATTCAAGCTCCTACCATGCGAGCAGCTGTGTGAACAACATGTTATGCGGTCTGAGATGGACAAACATTGTGGAACAGTTTGCCTTATGAAGCTTACCAACTGCCCGTTTTTTAGAATTGGCTGTGAAACAGCCTTTCCACAGTGTTCTCTTGATAACCATTGTTCGCGGTTTCTACAAACCCATTTGATGTATGTCGTCAAGGGGATTACAAGACAGGGTGATTCTGTTAATGATACGGATCAACGGCTGCAACTCCTTAAGAAGGTGGGTACTTATTAGAATGATATAACCTGTTATTGGCCCTTCCAAGCGTTGTTTGAATGGAGGTGATCATTAGTAGTTTGAAGATATAACGCGAAGTCATTTCTCAATTCAGCTTGCTATTTTTTTTCCGATCTGATATCTAACGTACAAACTCAGCTGAAGATAATTCAGCCCAATAGCTTTGAACTGGTGAAAGAGTACACATGATTTATTATAATTCAGTTCTATGCCCCTGCTCAAGTACCGCACTCTGGAGTAGCTTAGACGAGATTATCAAATTGGGGTATGTGACATCCCGGCTTAATAGGAATGATAAACCACTCATAACAACAAGGTGCACCTTCTTTTCCGGGAGCCCATCCGGAAGGACCCTCAAAATTATGTGTGCTTGGCTTGGAGCAATTTGAGGATGGGTGACCGACTGGGAAGTTGATCCCAGGTGCGCACGAGTGAGGACAAAGTGCGCAATAAAGACTAGTGTTGGTCTGTGGGGCCAGTCTAGATCCCAGGCGCAACGGCCAGGACTTCTACGAAATTCACTATGTCATGAGCTCCACCCAAGTTTGGTTCAGTTTCTTGAGCACCCAACTGCTGCTAAATTCGAACTGCAACTAATTTCATTAAGACCCCAGAGAGAAAGCAAGATCACAAGTGGCCTGATTGCAGAGTCCTTGCACCATAATATCCAATGTTTTTCCCCTTGGTTTTGTCTTAAAGCGACCAACTAGTTTATACTTGTATATTATATAATACATTCACTGTCTAAAATAAACGCACTATCCAAAATAAACCTGGTATACTTTTCTGTTTCACTGTTATCTACTACTACATTACAAAGAGGGTAATATTTTCTGCACCAAGTTGTAATTGTTGAATCCTACTTATAGTTTTGATTATTATTTGATTCTGAATAGAAGTTATGGTTAATTTTGAATGGGAAATGTGTATCGTTCATAAACCATTCCAGAAAATAAACCTGGATTAATTCTTTTGTCAATCTTATTACAGGTGCAATCACTGAACGAACTCGCTGGGGTTTTAGATGTCAAGGCCCTCACTTTGATTACAAAGGAACAAGAATCAAAGATAAATAAACTCGAACGGGATCTCAAAGCCCAAGAAACAAGGATGAAGAAACTTGAGAACGATCTTAGGTCACGGAAATAATGATTGCTGTCATGTGCTCATCATTGCAGCCTTACTGGAAACCAGGTGGCATACATTGTGGTATATGTAAATAATCGGTAGCATTACCATAAGGTTTACCATCCTGTTGTCCGTTGTCCATGTACAAATATAGGTTGTAGAAAAGTCAGCTTGTTTTCAGATCAGTTGATAATTTGATGTAAGTTATGTTTTGTCACTTCTATAATAGAGCAAGTACATGGATTTTACAGGGATGCGGTGGATTAGGATCATCTGCCATTTCCTTTTTGTTCATTTCTACCCAGGTTGGGCTATTCACAGTAATATGCTACTTTGCAGGAATATCTTTTTTCCTTCTCAACAGTCAACACTTAGTCGGAAGCATTTTGTGTGCGAGGGTGGACCTTTGTAGGTCGTTTTAACAGCAAGATTTCATGGAGGACATGTTGCAACAGTATCATCATTGGCTTGGCTCTTCGACGAAGCTTTCAGGTTACAGCGCAAGCAGCCTCCAAATTTTGCAAATATGTCCTGTATGCATGCGTATACAGAAATATGCAGGTGGTTTTCTTCTGCAGTTCGTTATGCTGAAGATGTCACCACAATATCTTCCCTATTTGGCCCATTTGACTCAGCTTTGACGGCATAATCATTGGCAGCCTCCAAAATCTTGCAAACTTCTCTCCTGTACTGTACCAGAAGGTCCAGATCATGTTAGGAAGACATTGTCAAATGCTGTTTGTGGAACATCAAAGTACAGTTTCCATTTACCTATATCGTTCCTATTGTTTACATTAATTGAGGGTTGTGTGGTGCAGATCAACTTGGAGTCATTTTATCATCTTCTTGTCATATTCCTAATCAGTGATGTCTAACAACCAAGAGGTTGCCTGAAGCCCGGACATTTTGTTCTTTCATCAATTGTTATCAGATTGATCCCTTTAATCTGAATTACGGTGAAATAACTTCTGAATGCTGGATATTTCAATACAGTTATTATTTAAAGTGGGCGAATGGTTAGAATCCTAAACTATGCCATTTATTTCATGTTACAGATGTGAATTATCAGTACTCCATCTTGCCAGCATGGAGACCTTAAAATGAACAAGATGGTATGGCATACCTCCTCAGTTGCTCCAGATTTTATTTTTGATTGCAAAATGCACCACTTCTTCATGTTCACACCTATTAGGTGCACAAAGTTAAATGTAGTATTTACCCGCTACATCTTGTGCTGGATAAACATAGTAGGAATTTTCTAAAGGAAAACTTGATAGGAATTGAACTTACCAATCTTTATATCCACTTGACATGTTGAACTAGAGGTTGTCCTTAGAGACCACCTGCAGTGGATCTGTAACAGTGAAACCAAGGCATCAGCTGCAGTTGGCCTGCGGGGAAAAATATTTACGTATCTACTAGCCAAAGCAAGTATTTTGTGGTCTAACCTCGAGAAAAAAGTGGTTATAAATGGGAATTTTGTTTGTTGTTCACTAGCATTTATATCTTAGTAGGGTATGTTAAGAAAAAACTCCAGGTTTAGGTTCTAAATACTGTGCACAATTAACTGAAAGGGGGCTAACGTTATTAAATCGTGTCCAGAAGGGCACAAGTTTAATTTTTAACCACTTTAAAAGGTACTATTCTGCTTTTACTACATGTCAGAATCATGGATGTAGAATATGCCATAAGATGTATCCAAATACCTCAAAGTAAGAACCAAATGGGACATCGTGTGCTTGCTGCTTTGTTTCATAGATCTGAAATCAAATAAGAACAGATGCTTGCATTAAAGGCTGAAATAACACCATAAATTTAATTTGTAGTGATCTTTTTTTTTGTTACCAGGTTTCTTTTGTCGTTTGAGAAAAAAACATGCTGCAATTCAGTTACCGCAGTGTCTGGAGGACACAAAGGACTGTGGCATAGTGACCTGAAAGTTACTTCGCGAACATTTCCACCGTACTCATCTGAGACATGCCACTTACTCAGCTGGAGAAAATAAAAACATTTGACTGTTACGTCGTCTAATGCTGGCAGCAACCAACTTGGTAAAAAAAATTGAGACCATGAAAATGATATGCCAATAGCGCAATTGACAAAATACACCTTTAAATCTGTATCTTTTCGTGCATTTCGGTACTGCTGGAAAAACATTGCATCATCACCTAGTATCACAGTGAAAAACTTCTCAGGTGTACCAGGGAAGGTATTCTGAAAAATCATACCATGTTGAAAATTAGGGAGATGAAAAGTAAATATGCATATTCAAAAATAGGAAATTATCTGGGATGCTCACACTGGTTATGTCTACAAGAACATGTTCATTGACGAAAGGTTGAAATGTGATAGTCAGTCCAATTCTTCTGTTTTCTGTCTTTATGTTGTCTGTTCTGCTGCTAATAACATTCATACTCTCTCCTTTAAGAAGCAAATGTGCACCCACCTGCTTGTACAAGTACAGGTTGTCAGGTGGTTTCCCCAGAAGCAAATGAAAAGACCAAACAAGATTACTTTCTGAATACCTGCTTTTCGGCTTCCAATGTTGCTCGGTAACACTGCAGCGCTGTCTCTAGAGCTCGAAATGTACGGTTTCTGTTCCAGAAGGATGTGAACTTGTACCTTACGCTTCCTGAACCATTAAGGCAAGGATGCTCAATAGAAAAATCTGTAAATAGTAGTTTTGCAACATGGAAGATGAAAACAACAACAGCAGATCTATATTTCTAGGACTCGTTTTGCTGTTGGTGCCTTCGATAGTAAAGTTTTACCCGTGAAGGAGTATCAAATTGGAAATGGTCTAGTCCAAGCTCTCTGAAGTTAAAATTTCAGAAATCAGACATATAATCCATAATAACACCTAGTTTTCCAATTAGGCATGTGACTGAAATCTTCTAAGTTTTCAGAAAGCGTACACATCGAATCCATGATAGTATCTAGTTTTCCAACTAGGGGTGTGATTTATCTAACTTTGTAAAAAGATTCCATCGAAAAATAATTCATAATCTTGGTTCCAAGGAGGATGCCCAAGATTACACCAACAGAAAATAGTTTACCATTTTGGCAGCACAATGGAGATACTCCATGACCACCTGCGTCGGTATGAAGAAATATAGTAATAGCTGGGTTTATAAGGGAGTGCTGGCTCCTCCTTATCTGTGGGTGAAATCATGCATGTGTCAACCATCTCAACCATTTAAAATCAAATACTAAGGTCATAATAAGAGCTTCATAGGTTGCATACCTCATATATGTCTTGTAACGGAATGATCACCTAAAAATAATTGGATAATAAGAAAATTATATAAGGATGAATTTGTGAACAGAGAAAAGAATCTGAACTTGCTTGTCAATATATCCATACCGTACCGATTTTCTGCAGCAATGGCCTGATTACTGTGTGTTAGTTAGCAAGATTTATATTATTGAGTGACAATTTATTACCTCATGGATTTTCAGACGTGGCTGATATTATTTACCTTGCTCATAAGTTAAAACCATGCAAAGATCAGTTTGGGGTTTGCACTTTTAGAACATGTACTTACATTTAATTGCTTGGAGAATACGTGTGACTGGAAGCACAGATGCCATGAGGAGATGCACATACGCCCATACCGCAAGAAAGACCTCTCCAGAGCACAAGAATAACTGTGGTGAACAATCTGAAAGTAGGAAGGCAATCATTCGGTTCAGTTGAGTATGCAATACTGTATGTGCAATTATCATTTGCCGAGAATTAGTACTTCGTCATGAGGAAACTCGATTGTAGCGTGCAGAGGACCACTGTCTTCAGTCATCGCCAACCGTTGCCTAGTGAGTATCATCTTTCTCTGGGACTTGGCTCCGGTATACTGCTTAAAGAAGCTGGAAACATTTGGTGAAATAAGAAGGATGTTTGCCTACCTTCACAAATAATGCTGTTCATACTTCTCAAATCAATGTTACCTGTCAGAAGTCGACGACACTTTCTTTGAGCTAATACGCAAGCAGATCTGCAACCAGATACTTTGTGTTGTAAGCGGGATTGTACATGCGGTGCCTACTGTGATGAGGCACTGAGATGAGGAAGGCTGATTTATTATTCATAAATGCATATCCTACCTGACCAGATCTGCTGTCCAGGTCGTACCAAACGGCTCCTGTTTCGTCTTCGGCGAGGATAGCTATAGTGACAGATCCGATGACTTTGCGTTTGCATACATTGTCCCAGTCATAAACTGTTATGGTTACCTATCCAGAAAGTAAAAAATACATCACACATTTGAGCAAGCACGTCTCTGGCATCAAATGCGTGCGTTGGCATATCTTGTTTTCGCTGAAAACGTCTCAGTTTCAGCTTCTGCGTAAGAAACTTGCTGAGCAGCTAAAGTTGATATGATGTTTGTGCCAGGTAGGTAACACCTTTGCTTTTGAATCATTGACAGGAGCAGTGCGACGGTCGTTGCTTGAGAGAAGCTGGCTATGATGCTGCACGGCCCCTGCATGCAAACATATGCACGCACTGCACTCTCCCATAGCTACTTTTGACAGCCTGCAGGCCATTGCTCAGTTCACTATTCAAAGCCTGAATCGACGATGGATGGCGTCAGGTGCACTCTAATTTACCCTATATTATCTGGACCACTGTCTTTCTGGGAAAGTGCCTTTCAAAATTTTATGATGCTTCTACTTTGTGCCACGGTTCCGAAAGATCGTCGGCAAGGCAAAGCCGGCCAGTACTACTATATGTATGCCGTGCTCTCTGAAGATTCTCAGAGAGAACGAAATAGAACTAAAAATAACGCAGCAGCACTGCATGGCGCAAAAGCATTGCTTTGTACTAACACGGCTGGCATACACCCTGTGCTTTTCTTTGCGGAGCATTTGTCTAATCTACTCCATCATGCCGTATTGCTCTTCTTTCACGCTCATAAGATATTCAAACTGGAATCGCACTTCTTATCAAAATGTAAGATCTTTTTTTAGGCTAGTTTAGCCGACAAAAACGTCTTATATTTTGGTACGGATGTGGTAGTATATACTGAGACATTCTTGTTCCTTTTTGAACCGAGACATCCATGATTAGAGTCTCGGCGGCAGTGGGCCCGCAGGGACGGCGGGTGGACTATTTGTGAGTGTGTGACGATGATTAAAAGCGACTTGTAGAGCGAATGGGTTCTAAACTATATTTCCAAAAGAACACCTTCCAGATTCTCAAGAGAGAAAAAAAATCACATTTTCTATGTTCTAGGAGAAGAAAAAGCTAATCATCGTGTTTGCTGTGGATAGAGATGATCAAAGAATGTGTAGGAAGCTGTTCGTTCATAATCATACCTCAGCTGGAAGTTCTCTGGCCAGGAAGCTGAACGCCTCCCCCCACACGGGATTTCTTTGGCTAGGCACCATGGGACTGCACGCACAAACACAGTATGAACTCTATGAACACCTCGCTTGAATTGCAAAGCAACATTGTACTCACTCCGTCCGAAAATAAGTGTCTCAACTAGGAATAAAAATGTAAGAAGAGGAGGGATTGTTATTACGCACCTGAAGCGCTTCTGCCCGCCGAGGGAGATGACGGCGTAGGGTTCGGCGGTCCCGTTCAGGTTGGCGCCGATCAGGTACTTGGCAGACACCAGCTCCAGCTGACGCAGCAACACATAAGCGGAGTAAGAACAGGCGCCGTTTCTCTCTTCTCTGCTAGCCAGGTGCTAGCTGTGTAGTAGCAGTACGTTGGAACTTGGATAAAAGTGTACCTTGATCACGTACGCGGTGGTGCTCCGAGAGCGAGAGCTGTCAGCCACAAGAGTGATCTGCAGGGTTCATCAGGGAAAATAAGCTGTGTTACCATTTGAGGGGGGAATGCAGATCTTGGTATGCACACGCCGTGTACACATGATCGATTGATCTCACCTCGTCGCCGGCGCATCCTGGTTCAGCGGCCGCCCTGCTTCCCTTTGCGCTGCCCCGCCTCCGCCCCCCTCGGTCTCGGTCATAGCTCTTAGTCGTGGGAGAGGAGGGGGAGGTGGCGGACGCGGTCTCCTCGAGGATGAGGAGCAGCGCGACGGCGGCGGCGAGAAGTGCCACGGCGGAGATGGCCACCTCCGCCTCCCACAGCGACGGCAGGAGGGATCTCAGCAACCACGAGCAGTGCGCGCCCATGGCCATGCTCACCGTCTCTTTGCTGTGACCTGTGAGGGAAGCAAAGATCGGTTAGCGGGGCATATAAAGTGCAACCAACCGTCGCCGTGGGTTTGGCTCCGAGGTGCATCCAGTGAGTCTCCCACAATGCGCCTGTCACGTCACGGTCTCACGGAGGATTTTACGGATACCTCGCCGCGCGTCAACCTCCGAAACAAAATTGGTTGTTTGAAACATCATGTAACTGGCTCCCGCAATCGGACAGAGATCAGGTGACATGCACCTTTGCATGTCACCGTGTGCCTTGCGGCCCGAATTCAAATTTAAACATTGCGAAAAAATCTAAAAAAAAACATGCATATTCACAGCACATATTTAGATAACCCTTAAAAAAATTCAGATCAAAACTCGAAACATACATCGAGAAGCAAAAAAGAGAAACTCAGATGTGAATAGTATACAGAGAACCATTCACAACTATTCATGACAGATTTCTCTTTTTTGCTTCTCGGTGTATGTTTCAAATTTTGATCTGAATTTTTTAGGGGTTATCATAATATGTGATGTGAACATGCATGATTTTTTTCAGATTTTTTCGTAATGTTTAAATTTGAATTCAGGCCGCAAGGCACACGGTGACATGCAAAGGTGCATGTCACCTGATCTCTGTCCCCCGCAATCACATGGGTGCAAAGTACTTCTCTTGGGGTTGGGATCCTCTGCAGTATTGTATGGTGCTGTAGTGAGGATGACATGTGGGGCCGGGTCCACATGCCAGTGACTGTACTGTACCATACAGTACTGCAGAGGATCCCAACCCTTCTCTCAGAGACTGAGGACGTTTACCTTTCTTTACTTTTGGCCGGATTATGAATCAATAAGATCAAAACTTTCTTTACTTTTGGCCGGGTTATGAATCAATTAGATCGATCGCCTCGCGTGAGACATCCGTCTGATCTCCCACCACGTCAGCCGCAACCTTTACAACAACTAGATGATGCCCCGCACGTTGTTGTGGGAATATTTTGCAATATTTCAATGGGGTTTTTGGTTACACGAAACATCAGTATTTGAAATAATAGTTTTTGAAAGTATATAAAAATTTGATGTAAATAGTATAATAGAATGGAATTTTACATGCATACATGGTTGCATGTTGAAGTAAATTTTTAATATACATAGTTGTATGTTTAGGTGTGCCTTTTCCTATGCATGTTGAATGATGAGGTGGCATGCTTGCATGTTGAAAGAAATATGTTAGTGGGGGCTAACTATTTAGATATAGAAGATGACCGTGTTGTGCTCGGTTGTTTTGCAACACAGACCTTGTTACGTTTGTGCGTATACATGACGTGTGCTTTGGTCATCCATTGCAACATGGAACAGTTTCATGGTGCGACTAGCAGCTTGAATGACATGGGCCTTTGATCCCCCATTGCGACATAAACCATAGCTCCACCTCTTACAACACAACTCATGTTGCAGCATCGGCAGCGAGCCCCCACGCTCCTCTGCACCATCCGGCCATGGACGACATGGAGGATGAGGAGGTGGGTGGACTTGTGCATGGGAGGCGACCATGCTTGTGCTCAATTGATGACCAGTGTGAACGCTGGCAGCCGCAAGGGATGTCAGCGATATATTGGGGGGGAGGGGGGGAAGAGGATCAAAGATTAGATGGATGGAGGAGACGGACGGCGACGACTGGAGGAACACCAACATCCGCGAGGGCCGCCGCAGCGATAGATGCGGAAAAGAAGCATGGGGATGAGTTAGTATGGAGTTGACTCGCACACTACATCTCACACAAAAACGATAAGCGGTGCGTTGGACAGCAAGGGGCGCGCGTCACACGCGCGAGGTGGTGGATGCGCCCATGTTATCAGTCGGCTGACTGTAAGTTTTTTCCTTCTTTTTATGGATGGGAGATAAGGTTCATTTCTTGAAAAGATTGATCGGAACTAGGTAGAGTGGTTCTTTCCCGAAAGAACGGATACAAAGCAGAACTTAGATGCACTGCACACACACCATCAATCACACACGCGCACACACGCACACACGCATACCATGCCAACTGAAGACCGGACTCGTACAGCTTCAGAACTGAAACTTCTGCTATCTCGCTATCAACAAAAATGCCTACCCCATTGTAGATGATCTTTCTACCGAGCAATTCTAAAAACGGAAACCACTTTACTCCCATGAGCTAGCTATGTTTTTTCTTTAATAATAGAAACTTTATTGATACTTATTATGTGCTTGCACATTTCCATTTGCTAGAATTATTCTAGTGAGCCCTCCTATGGTGAACAAAAAGATGAACCCTACAACAAATAACATGGGTGTTTTGTATGGTATCGAACCTCCCCACATGGTAGCGATCCAATTAAAGATTTTGATTCCCGTGGGCACAACTATGATCATGGTAGCTGGGATGAAGTAGGCATGTATATCAACGTCTAAGCTCACAGTAAACATATGATGAGCCCAAACTAGAGTTCACCTCTAGTGTAGCCATGGTTGGTTATCATGCTAGAACACAATATGCATCACAATATGTGGATTGGCTAAATAATTTATATGTTGTACACTTTTCTTATTTTTAGCTACCTCACCCCACATGTCACGTTAATTTTATTTTGATTTATTGAAGAATGCACTGTGGAATTTCGTTAATGTTCTCTTCCAAAAGGAAAATTGACGATCTTCCTTGGGCAAACTTTCACCATATTCAATTCCTCCGGCTTTGCCAATGCCCTGGCATCACCATTTACTCATTTTAGAAACAAAAAAGGCTTTCCTTCTTTGGTGCTTACATCTTGTACTTGTAACACAGAAATCTATATATGTACATGCCGTTTGACTTAGATGATTAGACCTGGACAATGGGAAAACAATTATAAGTTGCAAAAATATTTAGCTTAGAATGAAGTATAAGGCATAGAGCTACATGTCCACGACTTAATTTTTTTTTGAACATTGTCCACGACTTATTTGGTATACATTACGTTGCTTGTAAATAGACGACCTCCTACAAAGCGTCCGTTCACACTTTTCTAACTTTTCTCTTAATACGTGATGAAGGGGTCACATACCTCATGTATGAAAAAGTTCAAATTGGTCAGGTGACAATACTATGATTTTCCTTCTGATGTTGTAAGTTTATAAAAGAATAATATCCTGTTAGTGGAAGCACTAGTCTTGAGAGATGGCAAAATAAGATCTGTCATTTGAGACAATTTTTGCGAGATTGGGCCAGAAATGAAAGTGAGCTTTACAAACAAGAAAAAGAGCGATTTACTCGTCTGATCGAAGCTTTAGATTTAAAAGCTGAAACTAACTTGCTTACGGTGAATGAGCAAAGTTCCAAGTCCGAAGCTGAGCAAGGCCTACGAGCTCTTCTTAGAGAGGAGTTCAAATGGGCAATGCGTGCCAAAGTGCTTAAGGTTGTCCAAGGGGATGACAATACACAATTTTTCATATAATTGCGAATGACAAACATAGGAAGAAGAAAATCATTCAGCTTGAACAAGACGAGTGGACAATTTTGGGGCATGAGAATCTGAAAGCTTATATCTCCAACTACTATAAACAACTGTTTGTCCATCCGGAAGCAAGTACGGTGACCCTAGACGAAACTTTAATTGGAGATATTCCTCAACTCCAGGTAGAAGAGAACGATATTTTAGCTGCACCGTTTACTGAGAAGGAGATTCTGAACGCAATCTCACAAATGAAATCGAATAAAGCACCGGGACTAGACGGGTTTCCAGCTGAATTCTATAAGAAATGTTGGCATATTATTAAAGATGATCTTATGCCTATGTTTCATGATTTCTTTAACGGTCATTTAGAGTTGTTTCATCTTAACTTTGGTATGATCACGCTATTGCCAAAGAAAGATGAGGCAGTACGGATTGAACAGTTCAGGCCAATTTGTCTTCTTAACGTGAGTTTCAAAATCTTCACAAAGGTGGGGACCAATAGATTGACACAGATCGCGCATTCAGTGGTACAACCGAGCCAAACAACGTTCATGCCAGGGCGACATATACTTGAAGGGGTGGTCGTTTTGCATGAAACGTTACATGAAATCCATTCGAAGAAGCTTGATGGGGTTATATTCAAAGTGGATTTCGAGTAGGCGTATGATAAAGTAAAGTGGCCCTTCCTACAGCAGGCAATGCGCATGAAAGGATTTAGCGAGGTCTGGCGGAACCAAGTGGGTTCTCTAGTCCAGAAGGGTAGTGTCAGAATCAAGGTTAACAATGATATCGGTCATTATTTTCAGACACACAAGGGTTTGAGACAAGGAGATTTCATGTCTCCTCTCTTGTTTAATATAGTGGCCGATATGTTGGCCATTCTCATCGGCGGGGCCAAACGGCATGGGCAAGTGGAGGGGTTAGTTCCTCATCTAGTTGATGGAGGAGTATTCATTCTATAGTATGCTGACGACACTATCTTATTCATGGAACACGACATTGCTAAGGCGCGTAATATGAAACTTATATTATGCCTCCTCGAACAATTGTCTGGTTTAAAGATAAGCTTTGACAAAAGTGAGTTGTTCTGCTTTGGGAGGGCCAAAGACGAACAAGACACATATAAACAATTGTTTGGATGTGAATTGGGCTCTTTACCTTTTAGTTATTTGGGCATACCGATCCACCACCGTAAGTCATCTAATAAAGAATGAAAATGTATCAAAGATCGAATAGAAAAAAAGTTGAGCTGCTAGAAGGGTAAGCTTATGTCTTATGGAGGTCGGCTAGTGCTGATTAACTCAGCACTGACTAGTATGCCGATGTTCCTACTATCATTCTTCGAGATTCCAAAAGAGGTACGGAAACGACTTGATTTCTTCAGATCTCGATTCTTCTGGCAGTCAGATGAGGCCAAGAGGAAATACCGTATCGCGCAATGGGACATTCTTTGTCGACCAAAAGACCAGGGCGGTCTCGATATTGAGAACTTAGAAATCAAGAACAAATGCCTTATGAGCAAATGGCTCTACCGGTTAGAGA